GAGGTGCTTTGCGAGCAGGTCAATAGTGAGGTCCGTGGGGCGAAGGGCGAGAAGGGTGTCCCGGACTGCGCTAAGCGAGTCAGGGAGGCGAGTGACTATATAGTGGAGAGTGATGTAAATCGGGGGCTCGTTCTTGGGGACGAACTCGGTGGGGAGGGTAGCACGGTAGCGAGTGTGCATAGCGCGGAGGTGGGTGATGAGGTCGTCTACAGTGGCGAAAGAGGACAGTTCGGGAAAAAGGTAGGGGAGGATGAGGCGGCCTAGAGTTGCAGTGGTAGGGCAAGAGTAGCGAGCGACTACAGCGTCGTACAGGTCTTTGGGAGTTTTAGTCTGGACAAAGTGATCGCGTTTGGCTATCGGCAGGTGGTTACGGACGGCTAAGCGAGCGGCAGTGTCGCGAGTGAGCCATTTCGAGCGAATCGCAATATCGGCAGAGTCGGGAGCGGCAGAACGAGCTCCAGACGCGAGGTAAAAAAGTGAGACATCATCTTTAGAGTCGCTCTGGAGGAACAGCTGTAGGTCCTGCAGCCAAGTTTTGAACTTAATAGAGCGGCCGTTAGGATCGAACACGAGAACACTGAGGGTGGCCATAGCATTGCAGCAAAGGGCAGAGTGTAGGGCGGAGTAAGCCGGCGTGCGGCAAGCATCGCGGCGCGCGGCAGGAAATATAGCGCGTGGGAAGAGCAGGGCGGGCGCGCGGGTTGCACGCGGGCTGAAAGGGCAGAGCGCGGGTCTGCAGGGGCGACGTGGGGGCAGGTAGGGGCGTCGGGCGGACTGTAGAGGCAGCGCGCAGTCGCGCGGGCTGCAAACGGGCGGCGCGCGGGTCGGCAGGGGCTGCGCGCGGGCAGGCAGGGGTGACGCGCGGGCTGTAAGGGCAGCGCGCGGGCCGCGCAGGCTGCAAGCGGGCGACGCGCGGGCCGGCAGGAGCTGCGCGCGGAAAGGCAGGGGCGACGCGCGGGCTGCAAGGGTAGCGCGCGGGCCGCGCGGGCTGCAGACGGGCGGGGCGCGGGCTGCACGCGGCGGCACGACACAGGGCAGGGCAGGGCGTGCGCGGGGCTACGCAACAAAAGGCAGGGCAGAGCAGGGCGTGCGCAGGCGGCGCAACGTAGGGCAGGGCGTGGGGTAGCGCGGTAACCGCAGTCGGTTGGTGGGCCCGAAATAAAAGACGGTCCTACGGACCTACTGCTCTGAAACCATGTCAGAACTTAGAGAAGGAATCAATGAACTATGAAAAAGTTGGGTACAAATACAAACCCTAAAGTGTTTGTACCCCATATTGGCTACCCCACTACAGCCTACACATCATAATACTTTGACACAAAGCAAGAAATCAGTGTTGCATTACTAACACAATTATTCCCCCTACTCGGCACCACACAGTCGCGTTGGCACAGCAAAGCTGTAATCAGATGAAATCCGACCAATCGGGGTCGCACAATAGGCAGAGTTGGCAAAATTCGTTGCCAACACACGGCTCGCAGCACGCCAGGGTCCTAGCTAGGATTTCAGGGGGTCCGATGCATCAAACGGGCCCGAAGATTCATGATTGGCTCTGTTCGATAGACAATTCCCCGGTCATGAGGAAACAAACATAAGTTATTATTATTGTCAGATTCTGGCCGGCACAAAAATTCAAGTTGGCAAGTGCACAGCAATGACTGTTTCCATCCACAATTTCCTTGGTCAGCGTGTGAAACATGGGTATGTGCAAGAAAATCTATGCTTTGATTCTAATTGGTTTCGATTCTTCCGCTACGATGTTAAGATACTGTGCTTGTTTCTCACGAGTAAACTGACTCCCAATGCCAGCAACACAAATTCATACGAGACACAGCAGATCTGCTGTGTCAGAGCTGTTTTGCCAAAAATCTCCGCAGCACGCTGCGCCTCGCACGCGTGAATCATGATTACGCACCTGGGGGTTATGGGGACGAAATTTCCAGGAAACTTCGTTCCGATAACATCTAATTCATGGTCCACAAGACCCGTACTCTGTATTGACAGGGTCCTTAAGAACACTACTCTGAGCGTGTATACAAAATTTCAAGATTCGCTAAAGCGTTATTCTGAATGGATCAGTGTTTGCAAATCGAAAAATCTGAAATTGAAGGGACCACGAAGTGAAATGTATGAAATCACCTTGAAATCAGGATGCTTACCCTGATAAAATCAGCCATGGCAGTACTACGACCCAGTACGGCAACATGTCACAGTCGAAGCCTGCTCCAGCACTGGTGACTTGGGCGTGCCTTACAAGCTATACCAACGTAAGGGCTCAGTGTCGTCGAGCCGTTTACTCCAACGGCTGATAAATGTAAATATGTAACCCGAGGAGAAGGCCAACAACTACACCAACCAATCTTCGTCACCATCGTGATCGCAGGACTCCGCCCTGAAAGACTCGGCACTGCAAGGCGCTTCTTCGGCAGCGAGGGGCTATCTCGAAAGCCGCCCTTTACGCCGCTCTTCTTGCCAAACAGTAAGATATGCCCCACGCCACGACGAGAACGACTCACCTTCTACACTAACAACAAAGAAGAGCGACGGCCGCGGCGCCTCAATTGAAAAAATTGCATAATTTTTGTACATTAAGCGGAACGATGCAAATTCCGCTCCAGCAATCGCCAGGCCAGTCCGAGCACCTGGGCTGGCGCACGTCAAGCCCCCGATATACATGCCTAGTACGCAATGCGAGTCCAACGATTCATCACCATAAGCAGCAACCGGCACAACCTGGAGGGTCGTGCAACGTAATCAGCAACATGTCGATGCACCATTCACGGGGAATCGCGTACGCACACCGTCACAAGAGCGTACAACAAGTCCGATCCATGCCTTCGAGCACAACGCACATAGGCTGGTGCCTCTTGACTGGATCTCGCACGAACAATTTTTTATGTTTAGTACCCCGCAGATCGTCACGTTTCGACTGGTGCTCCTCTCGCGCGATGACTACAAGCACCACAGCACGTGGTACCTGGATAACTGTTGTGGGCAGCATATGGCGGGCTCCAAGTGTTTGTTGTTTCCACCCCTACGGTCACCTATATCACCGTGGCGAACAACGACCGCCTGCGCGCAAGCGCGCAAGGGATTTTCGCACCCCAAGCCAACACATCCGCACCCCCAACACAAGGGATTTTCAAGGCACGCCCCCAAGCCAACACATCAACATCCGCACCCACATTAGCTCCACCCTCCGAGCCAGAACCTCAAATGTCCACTGTGACGTCCGCTGCGACACGAGACCTGGCTGTGGCAATAAAGGCTACTGCTGCGACTGCGAGTACAAGGTCGATGATGACGAAGACAAAGGGGTGATATGGGACAGACCAGATGTGGAAGAACAAAGGGGGAGGGGAGCGACCAAAAGGGTGCAACCAGGTAGGGGAGGGGCAGTGAGGAACTAGGGATGTGGGTGAACTGGGTGAAGCAAGCAAAAAATAATTCGACCTATCAAATGTAACATCACGAGAGATGAAGGAGCGGCGTGAGGAAGTGTGGTAAAACAAGTAGTCGTGAGTCTCTAGAGGGAAACCATGGAAGACACAAGAGGTAGTGCAAGCTCCGAGCTTGTCCATGCGAGGAGCGCAATCGTGAGCAAGATAGCCTCAGGCGCGGAAGGCAGATGTAGGAGCAAGGGCTGTGGTCCAAAGGATCGTCGGCGAAACCTATGGGTGTGAGGAACGTGACCACATGTTAAGCTAGTGTGCAGTGTAGCGGACCATGTAAATCAGCATTGGTAGCGGACCGAATATAACGACAAGGAGTGTTAAGATACTTAAGGGGACTAAAAGGGGTTGGTAGACTAGGGTTTGAGAAGAGAGGTGGCCAAAAAGGGGGGTTTGCAACATGAGAGTGTCAGAATCCCAGTCACTAACCACTGGGATAAAAGGGCTTGTTTGTATAGCGGGTGAGTGCGCCCATAACCCCCTAGGCCAACGTGCCTGTAACCCTTCCCTAAGATCATCGGGGATCACCAGTGGACCTCTGACAGAGAGAGTTACAAGATGTAGGAAAGGGGGACAAAGGGGGGTATACCACCAAGGCGCTACACTACTAGCTAAAACATGCAATTTTATAAGAATAAACCATATCCTAACAAGGAGTGGCAATTGTAATTCCTTCATCGTAACAAACATAGCTTGGCAAGAACCTCGAGAATACGATGTTGGTGCAGGTTCGGCAAGAAAAAATCCGAAGGCGACGCGAGGCAGCCTCAGAATTGCAGAAATTTGTCGATTGTGCACTTCCAAGAACTGATGTTGTACGCGAAGCAGTAATCCCCTCACGAAGCGTTGCATCTGGTTTGAGGGTTATGTTCTACGCCCAAACAATGGTTAAGAACGTGCTGTATATAAAGCATATCACTCCAAGCTTCCATACAGAGAATCGGATATCTTTCAATCAACCTTCAGCCACTGAGGTCGTGTGTCCCTGGAATCACAGTTCGCATTTTCCCCAGCACCATTTGAGCAAAAAGTGCGGCATACGTCAGGTGTTCCTTCCCTGAATTCATAGAAAACAACCTGAATTCATACGACACACCCAGAAAGAGACTCCCCCAAAATCCCTTGAGTTCCCCACCCAACCCCGACTTCCCATACTCAGCAGGGCACCAAAAAACAGCTGAGCCTGAACCGGAAGCGAATTCCTGAAAAGAATATGTGGTAACATGCGATGCGATGCGTCCCTTCATTCTGTTCAGGTTCCCCCCTCCACAGTGAATTTGCGAAGTCCATGGAGCCTATACCCAACTGTTCCAGATACTTTGATGGTATGCGCCTCGGCAAGCACTTGACTTGACAGTCACTCCTCCATCCAGCTCGCCCGCACCTAGATGTTTTGGTTGACGCGGTGTTGGCCCTTCTGTGACTACAAAAAGCCACCAGAATCCTCACATTTCCACAAAGCGAGTTTGTGTAAGATCATCTAGTTCATTGGGCCTCTTCTTCTCTCAGGCAGGCATCACATTCGCGACAGCGTTTGCATAGCGCGACATGGCGAAGCAAGCAGTGCTGGCTCTGTGCCTGGCGGCGCTGGTGCTGGCGGCGAGCGCCGGCGACCCGTTCAGTGCGGCGAACAACAAGCCGGTGAACGTGGCGCAGGAGCAGGCGAGTGACCCTACTGGGGCCGTCTCAGATGTGAGCCCTGCAATCGTGAAGCAAGCTACGACGGGCGACGCGGCGGGTATCACCGTGGTGTCGACGGCAACCGACTCGATGCTGTTCGCGGACGCTAAGTCGGCCGGGTGGAACAAGATGAAGTGCCACGCGGAGCTGAAGCCGCACGCTGGTGCGTGCACGCCCTCCAACTGCAGCAAGGGCGGCATTCCCGCCAAGTGGAAGACGTCGAACCTGCTCAAGAACAAGATCGGTATCGAGGTGTACGTGAAGGGTAACCCGCTGACGGTCAAGAAGGCGTCCCCTCAGACGTGCTGCAACACGTGCGCGTCGTCCAAGGGGTGCACGTACTGGCAGTACATTCCCGACATCACTTTGGACGGCAAGAAGACGGACGGCGCGTGCTATCTCGTCAAGGACGAGATCGACTACACGTGCGGCGAGCTGATCGCGCAATACGCGACGGAGACGAAGCCCATCCACCTGCAGGTGCGCACGGGCGGCGAGTGCAATGCCGCGTCGGAGATCGCCAACGACCCGCATCTGGTGGGCGCGTACGGCACGCACTTCGACTTCAACGGCCGCCCCGACGCCGCATTCTGCCTGCTGACGGACCGCGACCTGCACGTGAACATGCTGCTGCGCGGGTACTACAGCGACGACACGGAGAACGCGGCGCTGGTGGTGGACGGCAAGGCCGTGCACACGTGGATCAAGGAGCTGGGGATCGTGTGGCTCGCCGACGGCGTGGATCACAAGATCCGGCTCGCGGCGCGCAGCGGCAAGCAGCAGGAGCGCGGCTCGGGGTTCATGAAGTCGATCGAGATCGACGGCGAGGCGATTCCGCGCATGCGCGTGGGCGACGTGGTGACGTCAGTGGGCGGGCTGACGCTGACGTTCAAGGCGCTGGAGAAGGAGGGCCCGTATGACGTGGACTACTACACGCTGGACATCGAGGGGCTGGTGACGCTCGACATGCGGCTGCGCGTCGCGAACCCCAAGCTGCAGACGCCGACAGAGGCAGAGGCGCACATCAATGTGGGCATTGTGGAGCTGTCGCACACGGACGAGATCCATGGCGTGCTGGGCCAGACGTACCGCGAGGACCACGCGCAGCGGGCCGCGGACTTCCAGAAGATGATCGCGTCGCTGCACCGCCCCATCTCCGCCGACGGTGCTGAGGGCGAGGGCTTCCTCGACGGCAACTCGCGGTCGTACGAGGCTAGCTCTGTCCTCGCTGTTGACTGCTCCCACACCACTTACCGCCACGCCAAGCAGCTGAGCCCTGTTGAGTTCCCCGTTGAGAACCCATAGACGACTAAAATGCTGGTACCCCCTAGTAGCATAGTTCTTGATTTCTCTTTTCTCTTTTCTGGTGGGCTGCTATAGTGTGGGCTGGTTGGGTGGGCTGATAATTGGTGGGCTGAATTTTCGCTTGTGCATAGTTACAGGCGACTGTAAGATTTTATATACAATTATAATTGTGTTGGATTGCATTACAATGAAACACGAGGCATCTGGCTAAAATCATTATGCATCTACATTGGGCAGAGTATAAAATAGCGGAGGGATTGTTTTTTGGGGGCATTGTTAGTGCACAACCTTTGACGCTTGATGAGTCACTTGCTAAGTGTTTGGGCCAGGCCCTCAGATTGGTTTCAGGGTATGCTGATGGATCAGCGTGCCCTGCCCAAATTAGTGACCAAATCAGCGTTGGGGGTCAAGTTTATGCTGATTTTGTCATGGTAGGTTTCATTGCATAATGGTTTTTCTATCCGAAAAGCACAGCTGGTGCAGCGCTAGTAGTGTAGCTGTCTAAGTTTTGACCTGTAAATGGAAAGGTCACGAGTTCTATGCCCGTATGTGACGCGTCCACTTGTATGTGGCATTGATTTTGGGCCTAAAGCCCCATGTACGCGCACCCCATCCCTGCACCCGATACATTTTGCTATGCCCGAATTAGTGTGACTCGGTACACTGTACTTGTAAGGAATTTTCCAGATTCCTTACTGGGTCACTCCGTACGCGTACAACCCCGACTTTCGGAAAACCAGGCTCGGTCCGCCGACCTCGCCTTCCGAGCCACTACCGCGTCGCCTTCGGGTTTTCCAACCCCGAACCTGCACCCAACCATCTCGCGACCTCGGCCTAGCTAGGACTTGCTATATTGTGCCTAGGCCTCGTTGTTCATTCAGACGTTGTAATCACTTCCGCGTTATTGAATTCTGCGCACTCTTTCATTCACAACTCATAACACTTGGTATCAGAGCTACTTTCCTAGGTTACCCTCGCGTTTCCGGGGTAGTTTGTAGAAGGGGGAGCGATAGACTTGGTGGGCTGTTAAGCGGTCGGCCCGTGGAATAGATCCGATTATTCCACTCCGACTACGATAGCATTAACGCCTTCACCGAAGTCAGAAAAAATCGCGACCCACCCCCTGCCCGTTAGACGAAGCCTGCGACACATGGACCAGGCGGCGTTTAACGAGTTCATGCAACAGTTCCGGACGATGCAGGCCACTGTGCAGACGATGTCTGCCGAAATGGAGCGTCTCCAGAAGGAAAACGCCGAACTACACCAGGCGCGTGGTGAAGCGTGTCAGAATGAGGAATGAATGATGCATTGATGTTGGTTGGGGTACATATAGCTAACCCTAAGTTTTGTACCCCCTAAGACAAACCTCACTATAGGCTACAACATTTGACACACCCCCATAGCCTAAGTGAGGGGTGTCTAGCAGAACCAAACGAGTACGGTCACAAGACCAGTCCAAGAAACGAAGCTCAGGGTGGATCACAACGTCACCACACAGTCTGAGCACAAACAACAGTGGCCACAAGGCCAGTCCAAGAAGTAACAGAGGTATATAGAAAGCAAAGTAAACAGTACACTCAAGTCTAAGCAACACGAGAACCAGTGTCAACAAGGCCTAACTGCACACAGCACCTCTGGTGGTCACAAGGCGGAAGCGCCTTGGTGAAGATGTCTGCAGTGTTGGCCTCGGACTCCACAAACTCAAAGCGAGCCTGTCCACGCCTCTGCAACTCTCGCAGAAGAAAGTACCTGACGTGAATGTGCTTCACTCTGCTCTCCAGTCGTGGCTCTCGACAAAGGAGAATAGACGCCTTGTTGTCAGTGAACAAGGTCGGTGCAGAGCTCGGCCGCTCACCAAGGTCGGTGAGCAAGAAGGTCAACCAACGCAGCTCCTGTGCCGCCATGGCACCAGCGTAGATCTCAGCCTCAGCTGTAGAGGTCGAGACCGAAGAGGAGCGCGTGGACCGCCAGGAAACAGCTCCAGAACCCAGGCTGAAACAGTACCCCTGAGTAGACCTGTGAGTCTCAGCGTCGTCAGCGTAAGAGGAGTCACAGTGACCAGTAAGTACGACAGACTGCTGCCCTCCAAGAACTAGCCCCACGCCTGACGTCGTCGCTAGGTACTTCGCCACCCTCACAGCTGCTGTCCAGTGAACAGGACGGTGTCTCCCTGGCGCAACAAAGCGCGCAAGAACGCTAAGAGGGAAGGCGAGGTCCGGGCGAGTACAAGTCATCAGGTACATGAGGCAACCCACAAGCTCAGCGTAGGGACCACTAGGCTCGAACGGCTCGTCTGAAAGGGTCCAGTGAGTCTGTGGTCAACAGCAAGAGGTGTGCGCTGTACTGTGGAGTGCTGAAGCCCGAACCGCTGAAGGACCTGCTGCACCATGTGCGACTGTGAAAGTGTAATGGTGCGAGCAGCTCTGTCCCTGGTGATCTGCAGGCCAAGGTAGTGGCGCAGCTCACCAAGATCAGTGCAGGTGTGTCTCTTCTGCAGTTCGGACTTCATGTGTGCCAAAGCAACCCTGTCAGGGGTGGCGAAAACAAGGTCGTCAACGTAGACCAGAACAAAGAAAGGTGTGGGGCCACGACGAACGAACAGCGACGGGTCAGCAGAAGACGGCTGGAACCCAAGGTCAGACAGGGTAGAACGCAGGGTGTCGTGCCACTCACGAGGAGCCTGACGAAGTCCGTAAACCGGTCGCCTCAGCCTCCACTGGGTCCCAGGAGGGAAAGAGCCAGTGAAGGCAGAGGGACGACGCAACCAGACCTCCTCGTGAAGACTGCCCTGAAGGAAAGCAGTAGAGAAGTCGAGAGAGTGTAACTCGTAGTCTCTCTGTGCTGCTACGTGTAGTAACACCCGAAGAGTGGTCATCTTCGGGGTGGGCGCGAAGGTCTGAAAGAAGTCAACTCCCTCGCGCTGACTGAAACCTCTAGCCACGTAGCGCGCCTTGAAGACCGGAGGAGATCCCGGTGGCCGCTTCACCCTGTAGATCCACATGCCGTCGACTACGTTCGCCCCCGGAGGGGGAACCTCATCGACGTAGGTGCCTGTGGATCTGTAGGAGGCCATCTCTGCGTCCATGGCAGCTCTCCACTGAGAGGCCCAAGGCCCTGACACTGCCTCAGCGTAAGTGCGAGGAGTCGGAATGTCAAGGGCGTCGGGGTCACCCTCAGGGGCGAGGAGCATGGCACAGAGATGAGGGGAAGCGGCCGCCAGGAACTCTAGCTCAAACTGCCTGTCCTCTAGGGCGTCACAGCCAAGGGCAGACACACCCCCGACGGCCAGAGGACTGGAAGGAGGAGCAGCCACAAGAGCGGTGGCGAAGTCAAGGCGGCGGGTAGAGGCAAACTCAGTGACTGCGGCAGTAAGAGCGGACACAGAGGACACAGAGGCACGAGGGTGGGTAACAAGAGAGGCAAGAACACGAGAGAGAACAGGACGGTACGTGCGGTAGTAGTCAGTGACAGGAGAAGGAAGCGACACAGTGAGGGCCGACTCAGGAGGAGACGGAAGCACAGACGGAGACGGACGAGGTGGACGAGAACAAAGGAAGGCTGTACGAAGGTCAGTGAAGGGAACAGGAGACGAGGGACGAGCACGAGGGGAGCGACGAGAGGCCCAAGTCTGAGAAGGAGGAGGAGACAACGAAGACTGAGAACGAGGGAAAACAGCGGGAGAGGGGTCAGGAGGAGGAAGCGGAGGACCAGAGACGGGAGGAGAGGGGGAGGAGGAAGGAGAGGGAGAGGGGAGACCAAGGGTCCGAAGACCCGAGACAGGAGGAGGAGACGGCAGCTGCTGCTGCTGCGGCTGCTGCTGCTCCAGCGGCTGCTGCCCCTGCTGCTGCTGCTGCTGCTGCTCGAGCCGCTGCAACTCTCTCTCCTCTCTCTCCAACTCCAGCTGCTCCTCACGAGCACGGCGAACACGAGCCTGGAACCTGGTCGGGTAGGGGTGGGGGGAAGGAGTAGTGTCCGGGGCAGCGGCAGCCCCAGAGTCGACCTCCGAAGCACCAAGTACACCACCCCCAGAGGCAGCACCAACACCAGCTCCAGACCCAGGCTCTCTAGAAACCGAAGGGACACCCTCACCCCCAGACGCAGCACCCCCAGACTCTGCACCACAGTGTTCCCCCTGGCGAGGAAGTCTCGGGCGGCGGGGGAAGCGCGGGTCGACGGGCAGCGGGGGGAAGTGCGAGTCGACGGGCAGCGGGGGGAAGCGCGGGTCGACGGGCAGCGGGGGGAAGCGCGGGTCGACGGGCAGCGGGGGGAAGCGCGGGTCGACGGGCAGCGGGGGGAAGCGCGGGTCGACGGGCAGCGGGGGGGGGGGGGGGGGGGGGGGGGGGGGGGGGGGGGGGGGAAGCGCGGTTCGACGGCAGCGGGGGGGAAGCGCGCCTCGACGGGCATCAGGGGGGGAAAGCGCAGCGCGACCGGCAGCGGTACGCTAGATCGGGCTACGCTAGATCGGGAGGAAGAACGAGCGGTAACGAACGAACGGGACTAGATCGGGCCGGCACTAGGCTCGGGCGGTACGATCGGAGAACGGAGAAACGGGATCCCACAGGATCCTAACCTAACTGATACCATGTCAGAATGAGGAATGAATGATGCATTGATGTTGGTTGGGGTACATATAGCTAACCCTAAGTTTTGTACCCCCTAAGACAAACCTCACTATAGGCTACAACATTTGACAAAGCGCGCCAGGAGTCGCCTGTCGTGGACGACGCAAGTAGCAGCACTGCACCGGAGGAGCGGCTCTGGGACGACCTGGAAGGCGATATAAGTGCGGATGAAGCGAGGCAGGCGCAGCAGCAACAGTCACCACAATAGTCGCGTGCAGCACCGACACATGCAGCAGCGACAACGACGGCGACGCCAGCAGCGATGCCAACGGCCCCGATGGCAGCAACGGCTTTCGTGAAAATCAAGCCGACAAACCCGCCCCCGTTTAACCCAAGTGACAAGTTCGTCACTGTTTCTGCATGGTTGTTCGGCGTGGAGGTGTTTTTTAATGCTGCCATGATTTATGACGATGCCACCCGCATTAATTTCGCAGTTTCACTGTTGCGAGGTGTCAGAGGTCCACTGGTGATCCCCGTGTCAAATGATATATATGTGTGATATATATTGGTAGGCTGTAGTGGGGTAGATGTTATAGGGGATAACACTTTAGGGTTGTGTGTGCAGCCCGCCCTGCGCACGCGCGGCCCGCAGCTGCCCTGCGCACCGTCCGTGCAGCCCGCGCCGAGCCCGCACGGCCCGCACTGAGCCCGCGCAGCCCGCGCGCAGCCCGCGCCTAGCCCGCGCGGCCCGCACTGAGCCTGCGCAGCCCGCGCGCAGCCCGCGCGCAGCCCGCACGCGGCCCGCGCACCGCCCGCGCAGCTCACGTCGCGCCCCGCCAGCCTGCGCGCGGCCTGTCACTGATCTGCGTGTTTCCTTACCTGCTCGC